TCGCATTTGTACAACCAATGCAACCCAATAAATTGAGATATTTATAGAAATGATGAGAGTTTATTTATTATGATTTGAATATTTATGGAAGATGGATATGGTTCATTAACCATGATCAATACTTTATATTATGAAACAATCAAAACTTCTATGAAATCACATATTAATCAAATGAAATGAACGGTTGATATTAGGTTGTATTAGTTGCACAAATATCAAAAGTTGTATAATAACCAATCTATATATATATATATATATATAAATTTAAAATATGAATTAAATATTAAAAATAAAACTTAATAATAATACAAAAAGATAAAATTGATTCTAAAACAAGTTTTCAAACAAGGAAAGTACATCCTTCAATCAATCATCCAACTTTTTCTTATAAAATCTAGAGCCACTAACTACTCCCACTAATATTATTCATTTTTATATTTATTATGATATTATCAAAATATAATTTTAAATATTTTAAAAAGCCTATAAATATATGAATAATATGGATAGGCCATTGAACTAAAAGGAAGGCCATAATAGACCATTCAACTTTCAAATTCATGTTGCTTACAACCATTGGAGCAAAATGACATAAAACACCCTTGATAGCAAATGTTTAATGGTTGAAACATTAGAAAATAAAGCGTCGATGGTTAAAACATAACAGCATTTCAACTCGAAAAAAAAAAACGAGGGTGGTGGAGAGGGGTTCGCCGATTACTGAAGTTGATAGAAGGCAAGCGTGACAAAGAGGGAGGTTGGTAGCGCGAGAGAGAAGGGGAGGTGAAGGAAGGATTAGGGTGCGACAACAAGGGGTCAGGGGAAATGGTGAGCGTTGTCGTCGGTGTGAGCGGTGTTGGGATGATGGAGGGTGTAGTTGGTGTGCAAAGGAAGACGTTAGAGTTATATAATACAAGTTTTTATACGTATTTTGAATATTTGAAATTTTGAAATTCAAAATTAAATTTTAATTAAGTTTTCTATTTATGCAAAAACCTTTAAACTTTATATTATTTTGTATTTAATAAATTTTAAATTGAATTAAAAGATATAATGACCATTTTAGAATAATAAAAGAAAAAAAAAAATGCAAACATTTGTATTTTATAATTTTTAACAAATTAACCATTTTACTCTTATGGGGGTTTTACAGTACATCTATACTATATTATAAATCATTTGATAAAAACTCTTAAAAATCATTATTTATATATAAAATATTGTTTATTGTTGTATATTACTTAAAATTTAAGATTACAAGTAAATAATGCATAAGTACAACTTAATAAAGCTCCATGCTTGAGTTTGTGTAACTAACTGCTGATAAACATAATCAAATACTGGATAAACATTTTATTTTAAATATAAAAATCTAAAATATAATTAGGATAATCATTATGTTGTAACAAAATACATAATTGCTATCTTTATAAAAAAATTATATTATTAAATCAAAAATAAATTACTTCATTATTAAACTTAAATTATAATAAAAAAAATTGAATTAAAGAAATTATACAACAAAACAAGAACCTTTAAATAATTAATTTGATACTAAGGGGGTGTTTGAGATTGCTTATAAAAGCTGTTTTTTAACTTATTTCAGTCTGACACTGGAGATAAGCTGTTTTCTGGTGTTTGGATAAGGAAAAAAAAACTGCTTATACCGGTGCCAAACCGGTAATAAGCTGTTTTTGATAAGTTAATCACTTATGAAAAACTGCTTATTACCAGTTTACAATTTTAATCCTTTTTTATTTAACTCTGATTTGATGCCACATAAGTTAATAAGCACTTTTACCAAAAAGCATAGGTTGTTTTAAATAAGCAATCCCAAACACCCCCTAATATCGATATTTTTTTTTTTCAAAATTTTAAGATATCTTCAAATTTATATTTTATTCAAAAATAAAAACATTATCGTTTTTCTCCAAACCACATGAAACTATATCATAACATCGGCATAGAACATAATAAAACGAAACATTAAAATCAAGATGTATCTCGCTGCATTGCGGGAGTACCTTCTAGTTTTTGTTACATAAGGGGATAAGTTTAAGTACATTTAAATACAATATCATTTGATCTTGATCATCTGAGAGTTTATTATTCCATTTATCTGAACAAAATAAAAGAATCATAAAAAATGATATTACACAATAAACTTGTAATAAAACCTTAAATAACTGAAATGACTGTTTAATTTGGTGGAATGTATGCAAAAAATATGAATTTTGTGAAAGAATTTGTAATATTTGATGTGTTTGGTTTGTAATATTTAGAATAATGATGAATTCTATTTTATTATAGATAATTCATAAAAGCAAATTATAAATGATTATAAAAATAATTAAATTATATATTATTAATCGATTAATACAAATAATGTTCTTAATATATTTTAAAACATTATTACAAACAAATCCTAAAAAATATCGTGAAATATCAACTACCTCCATGAGAATTCTAAACCAATGTTTCTGCCTGGTTTTCAATTACGAATTTTCCTTTAAGCTAAATGTGAGATTAAATTGAAATCGAATTCCAAGTCCCACCAAATTTAACAAGCCAAAATAGACCCCAAAGATAATTACGTTTCTACTTGTTAGATAATCATAAGCCAGAATTGAGTGAGAATTGTTATTATTAAGAATTTTCAATTTTATTGTAAATTTTAATTCTAAAACTTATTTACTATAAAAGTATTAACGGGTAAGACGGGTTTGCCCAAACATGTCCATTAACCCTCTTACTTGTTTAAGAATGGTAGTCCAAACTCGTTTTTCTAATAAACCAGATCAATAATGTCTAACAGACTGTACCGTCTGTAAACTGATCTGATTTCAATGAATTCGCAGAATTTTAATCTCAGATTTTCTTTAAAAATAAAATCAAAATCTCGAGATTTGAAGATATGAGTGACCCTTTAACGGTCTTATAATAAGAAAAGTATTGAATTGAAAAAGAGTGTCACCCAACCCACCGTGGGGCTTTGAACAAATCAACACACACTTCTTTTTAGGAATTTAAAGTAAACAAAAATTTCCCCTTTTCTTTTGTTTTTTCTCTATTCATAAATGAATATCACAGAAAACAATAACCAAAACCCTACCATTTTTTTTTCTAAAATAATGCTTAGATAACTTGTAACATATACATTTAGATTCCATCACTACACGAAAAGGTGTACATTAACGGTAGTGTCTGATTGGTTTGAGCTTGAACTCCAAATGTTAAAAGTGTCGGAAGATCTCAGGTTCAAATCCAATGAGAAATAAAAATTCTCTTGTGGCTACGGAGGTTCAAATACGGTGACTCCGGACTACCTGCAAAACAGGCGGTCGTCCTGAGATTAGTTGGCTCGCATAGCGGAGTGAATATTCGGGTTAATAAAAAAAAGTGTACATTACTTAATAAAGTGTAATGCAAATAATGACTTGTATCTTATATTGGTTTCTTTTTATTATTAAAAAGGGTTCGTTCTATTACAAGTAATATCATCTAACAACATAATATCGTACTGCCTTATAACAAATCTAACAGTAAGATTCTTGATCATCTGAGAGTTTAAAATAAATGTGTAGAAGAGAGAGATAATATATTATTAAATGTATCGAATATCTTATTAACATATTATATTTTATTAATATAATTGATATCTTATTAGAAGAGTTGGATGTAATTTTTTTTTTTAGTGATTTTGACTTTCCATACTTTGTTATAAAAAAATTATAACACAATCGTTGAAAATGTCATTTTACACAAAATTCAAGATAAACCAATGTTTTTGTACAAAAACTTTTTTTTTGATTAACCTGGATATCCAGGACGAGCCGACTAATCTCAGTGCGACCATCTACTTTGCGGGTAGCTAAGAGTCACCGTATTTGAACCTCTATGGTTACAAGGGAATTTTTATTCTTCCTTGGATTTGAACTTAGGACCTCCAGACACTTTTGACCTTTGGAGTCCTCAAACCAATCAGTAACGAAAGAGAAGATGCTCTAATAGGTACAACATGACAAAAAAACATTGTGGTCAAAGTTGTATGATGTTCCATGATCATGTCCCTCAATTGGATTTGGCTGTTTCTAATTCTACCCCTACTTCTAGAGAAAGGTTAAAACCCCTATGATCTCAGGAATAACCATCATCAATAAAATCTCTACACCATCATTAAAACCCTATATCAACCTCTACAAAAAAACACCCTAATAGGATTTTTTTTATTAACCTGGATATCCAACCCGCTATGCAAGCCGATTAATCCCAAGGCGACGACTTGCTTTGCAGATAGCCTGGAGTCACCGCATTTGAACCTCCGTGGCCACAAGAGGATTTTTATTCCTCCTTGGATTTGAACCTGGGACCTCCTGGTACTTTTGACCTTTGGAGCCAAGCTCAAACAAATAAGTCACCACCCTTGTGGTTCCTAATTGGATTTATCATGCACCCTTTCAGATTTTGGAACACAGAATTTTATTACAAAGAAACATCATCTTTAAGAAACTAACCCATAAATATATGAACACATGTATCATTAAGACACTGGATTAATTATATTAGGACTAACAAGATGAAGCCTTTGATCTTGTTATAGAGTTATGTGGACAATTTGGAAGCCTTTGATCTTGCATTCTGGGAATCTATGGAGTTGGCCTTACCTTTCAAGAGGAACAGCAGACTCCAGCCTTACTCTATTTAGTCGAACAGTTCCAAGAATGTACTCTGGAAGTTCTTCTTGTTCCTTGGCCTGCAATTTATATTTTATAACGAGTTTCTAGTTTAGGATCACAAGTTTCGGATACCAATCACACCCACACATGATAAAGGGTACAAACAGACTAACGATATTGATCTGGACCCACAAATTCCTCTATAATCGAAGGGTATTTTTAGGTACTTGACGATAGTCAAACAGCTTCTTTTAAACCGTGTACGTAGTCAAATCTTGCAACGAAGAAGCCATTTTCAGAAAGAGCAAGATTCTTAGTAACAATGGGAAGAAAAGAAACGGACCTCTATTAAGATGGCAAGATCAACAACGATGTTTGTTACATATCCAAGAACGATACCAATAACACTCCTTGCAACAGATGAGGAACCAACATCCACATCAACCTGTACAAGAACATACCAAAATGTCTATAAACACACACACACACATTTTCGACAAAAAGGGTAGTCTTTTACCTCCAAAAAGTTGTCTCGTCTTAGATAGCTGCATGTTAAAGCTTTTCCCAACAGGCAAGCTTTTGTTCCGACTGCATGCTTGACCATCCAATACCCCTGTTGAGAAATTAACTTATTGCTGAATGTCATCACATAACCGTAACCAAAATCAAAACGTCAAACACAAGCAATACCTCCACGATACTCGGGATCAGTTTGAATCTTGATAAACGGAAACTGTCGGATTCATCAATGAATCTTCCCAGCAAGGAGTTCTTGACTACTGGTGTATCTGCAGCGAAGTAGAGAACTAGGCTGTAGTTTGGTTTAGCAGGCACCTGAAACAAGACCCAGCTTGAGGTTCAAATTAGAGCTCAGAAGAAAACCGGAAGCAAATATGTTGTTGGTAGTTAGATACTAGACGCTACTAATGAGTATTGCAATAGCTATTTGATGCATGTCGACATTATTCAATGGTTTGTAAACCTTTTAGCAAGTATCCCAAGCCCAAAAAGCAATAGATTGATCCAACAATCTCCAAATCAGCTTAAACCCAAGGTTCTAAATGAGGTGAGGCATGGCGTGGTGGCAAGGTCACGCCTCACACCTTACATGCAATGACGAGGAAGCAGCATTTTCCAAAGCATGACATATGGTGGCAAGTTTCTATGTTATATATAATTATACATATACATATATAATTTCTATCTATTGTTCAATGACATTGAAAATTCCGCTCAACAAGGGGCCCCTCTCATAAGGAAGAAAACAAAAGAATCTCAGCTCATGCCCTGGTTTATAATTTATCTCTTTCCCTTTATTTTTAGTTATTTTCTGAAACTTGTATATATATATATATATATATATATATATATATATATTAGTATAACATAACGAGTCTGTGATCAAATATCCAAAATAAAACTTGAAAAAGGTCTTACAACTTCATTTTAACCATGAGTCTGTGATGTGTCTGAATGCATGAAACCGTGTAAAAACACAAAAGCTAAAAAAATCACGCGTTGTAAAATATGCACGTGCGGCGATCCCCCAAGGCGCCATGGCGTGAGCCATGCCTCAATGCTATAGCCCTTATCATAACGACGGAGACGCGTCTTTTGCCATCGTCCGCCATGGCACGCCTTTTAGAACCCTACTTAAACCCATGATATAAGTTATTGGTAGCCAATAATTTCAGACTTATAAGGAGCTCACACATCTAATTTTCAATCCATGGAAGACGGGTTGTCACAACCAGCAAATCGGCTGATATCCTTTGTAGATAACCAACAAAGCAACTTAAAAGATGGGGGAAGTTATTGGTACTTTGGTAGCCCATAATTTGGAAGTTATAAGGAGCTCCCAAATCTCATTTACTAATTTGTATCCATGTGAAACTAGCCATGTTTTTCTGGTCCATTTAGGACGGGTTATCACAACAACCACCCCACTTAAATGAGCTCATAAACTCACAAATCTCATTTTCTATCAATGTGAACGAGTTGTCACATTTAGATTGAAAAGTTGCCAAAAAAGAAAATGTTGTTATTTTTGTGGGATAACCCGTATTTTTTTTTGCATGTGTTGGTGAGTGTATGTGAACTGTAATACATACCTGAAGATTCATTACAAAAACAAATGGAAGTTTTTTCCCGGCATCTGACTGTAACAAGAAAATGAAAATAGTTTAACCATCAATAGGCATGGAAATTATATCCGAGTAGGAAAAAGAAATACATAAATTACGAGTCATAGCAACATAAGTTTCATGTGGATAACCTTATTTAAGTGATTAACTTTCCAACCAAACTAGGTTTATTTTTGGCAAATGCAAGAAACCACAGTTCTTGGAGAAGCACAGAAAGAAGACCATAATTTGCAAGAACGAGTGATTTTGGATAAATTTAAAAAAAAAAATACAATTGTAGTTGGCACTTTTTGTCCAAAATTGCTCACTCCTGCAAAATGTAGTTTCCTTCTTTTGGATTTTGGGAAGAATGCTGGTTTCTTTGCAATGAAAAACCAAGTATGATGGATCAAAAAGTTAATCCACTCATAGATTTTTGGCACAAAAAACATTTTGGAAGTTCAACATTACAGAAAAGAGTAAACGAAAATCCAACAAGATGATAGGTTTGTAACAACTATATTTGCTTGATATTCCCCAAGGGTTGGGTTCTGGTGAGAAGAGAAGTTATGATGAGAAGTGTAAGAAGAGATCTCTACCCTTAGATCAATCCTAATTGAATGTCAACACTTGACTCTAATGAGGTGCACAGATGCACCGGATCAATTCCCTTCTAAAGCGTAATTCATGGGTGGATATGAGATTAAAAGTGATCAAGTGTTCAAATCTCTTTTTACACTTATCACCATAACTTCCCTTCTCACACGATCCTTCGCCTATTCTCTAAAGGGGAGAGTTGCAGCATAAGGTCGATGCTTCTGAATAGTATTATATCAGAAGTAAATTTGCTTGATATTCCCTATCCATAACGAATGTGCATTAGCTTTGACGATATGCGGAAAGATTAGATGACTACCTGCACAAGGCATCTGGGATTCAAAGCCACCTCACTTACGGGATTGTCAACTTTGAACCAGTCAACTGCTATAAGCTTCAAAAGAGGATCCCCTCCGGGTACCTGAAAATATACATTATAAAGATGCTAAAATCTTGCTTAAAAAGCCCCGTTTGGTTAGTCATAAGCTACCTTTTGAAAAGCTATGCGTTTCAACAAGCTCTAGGGGCTTTTTCCACCTTTTTTCCAATTATGCCCCTTATATTTTTCCAATTCATTTTTTAACATATCCTTTTGGTCATGTTACATTGTCATCTAGCTTAACAATTAGTTTTTACCAAACATGACTAATTTATCGGCCATAAGTTAGCTTTTCAGCTAATTTGCCAAACACCATGTCTTTATAGTTGTTAGAAACGGAAAGTTCAGTAAATAGCACATTTTTATCTGTTCTGGTTCTGGAAAATGAAATTATCGCAAGCTTTTGCTTGATTCATGTTATGATCAGTAAATTTTTCCTGATTTATGGGGGCATCAAACCAAGAGGACTAATATAAACATAACAAGATTAAAAGAAGCAAACTCACCTTAGCACTATTTTGCAAGTATGTCTTTCCTCTGATCATAAATTCTTTACCACTTGGAGATGTCCAACAATCGACATCAGTCTCACTCTTCCATTTACGCATTGTACCAGGAAAGTGGCTATAATCAAGATTAATTGGACATGCAGTTGGATCTAATTCATCATTTGCATACGGAGCTGATAAAATGAGAAAAAGCAAACATTACAAGAATAATAGCTAACTAGTTGTGTACCCGCACAATACGGCGGGAGCCGTGAATTTTAACAATTTTGAAGTTTCACTGGTTTTATTAGAGAAGGTTTAACGATGATATAAGTTACACTTGGTCTTTACATATTAATACAATTTGAATAAATAAGAGTTATGGTTCCAATTACAGTCTATCGATGGAAAAAATTGTATGACAGTTTAAAATCCAATATATTTAAAATCCAACATAGTTAAACGACTCCACAAATGTGTTCGATTTACACCAAGAGCAAAGAATCAAGAGATCGAGAGCGAGACCGAGAGTTTTAGATCAATTGAATGAGAGAACTTTTAATAACTCATGATGAATATCAGTTTGAATCTCATCTTGGGGGATGGGGAGAAGACATAGAGGTATGAGAGGGTGAAGATATGAGTGAAAGGTGTCAAAAGTATCTTGGGAACATGAAAAAAAGGTAATAATATGCATTGGTAACTTGCACTATATGTTATTTTAATTGTAGATAAGAGATTTTAACATTGAATGCATAAACTGGTAGTACTTAATGCATTATGAGTTGTTTTTAAGACTTTGTGCATAAATGTATAGTACTTTATGCATTAAAAATTGTTTTTAAGACTTTTGATAAATCTGGTTTATAAGGTAGTATAGATAAATGTACAAAACACCACCATCATGCCATGATCACAATTCACAACAGCAGGTGTACATATAACGAGCTTGTATTCATTAATGAATGCAAGTAAAATCTGGCACCTCGGTTCTTATTGCAATCCAAGCAGCTGGCAATCGTCCGCAGCTTCATATTCTGGCTCTAGTGAAGTTAAAGGAGTATATCAAATCAGATATATTTATTCAGAAATAATACAAATTGATAAAGGAAGCAACAAACCTTGCTGTCATCTGGGACTTCATAATCACTATCATCATCTTCTGATGAATAAGCAGAAATTGCATCATAAAACTGATCAGCAACTTCATCGTCCTCATATTCATTAACGGATGAAGACACATCCTTATGCAATGTGGTGGATGATTCCAACTTGGGTGCATACCTTGTGCCAATGTACACCTTTAAACCTGAAATTGCATCATTAAAACATGACTGCCACCATGTTAGAACATCTAAAAACATGTGTTTTTGTTCAAGGACTTGTAATAAGCTACCGAAAAGAAAGTTCTATCTTTGAAGATGATACACAAAACAAAAATTCTAAATAGACTCTAATGACCAAAAGGCACGTTTTATCTTTGGCACAGATTACGTAATAAGAAATAACAAGTACTAACCTGATACTTGGTGCAACAAGGCATAGGGAATCGTCTTTTCAAACTTTAAGGATTGATTACTCTTCCATTTAGACCAGCCTTTAGAATGTACCTCTAACATATGTGTTATGAGACACCTACCAGCATTTGCTGGCACAGATGTGTTTAAGATCCTGATCTCCCAAGTGGATGCTGATACAGAAGAATTATATAAGATATTAGAAGGAAGCCAAAGTTCTTGTAAAACGGTAGATATGAAGGGGAAAAAGAAACAGTACTAATGAGTTCATCTCAACAAAGTTTGCAAGAACAAAGAAATATGAGGTGAAAGAAGACGATAAAAAAAATTCTTTTTTGGCCATTACCATTTTCATTTTGTAGGTGCAATACATATTGTACGAGGAGAGATGGACATGTGATTGTGGTCATAAGGAGGATGCAGGAAAATGGTATAAGCAAATCCTTGGGTGTGTTTGGTATGTGGGACTGGATGGGACATGATTGTAACAAAAACTTGTTATCCTATGCTTTGTGTGACATTAGACCGGGACAGGGATAGGACTGAGTGGGACAAAAATGAATTTGTTTGTCTTACCAAAATAGGCAGAACAAAAATCAGGAAGATGGGACAAGATTGGTGACCCACCTACCTCATTCTTGCATGCCTACCTCATTCTCGCCCGTTCATACCTGTGCTGTCTCGACTTGTCCTTTCCAGTCCAGTCTGCATACCAAATGCATTGGGGAATAAATATCCTTTGTACTATTTCAGAACCTTTAAGTTTTAATTGTCCTTGAACAGATCTTAGCAACTTTTCATATAATCTCATTTCATGGGAAAAGTTTAAAGGACTAAGCGATGAATGATGTATTGGCCACTCGAGAGCATCTAAAGCCTAACAAATGACTCATGCACTACTATAAACAGTTTTTAATCCCCCTCATTTTACCTGAAAACGAGGATTTAAACAGAAGTTGAAAAGATGGACACCTGTGACGTGTCCGGTGCAACAAATCTTACCCCGTTGCCTATACGCAACCGGGTAACACTGAGCAGGTTTTGAACAGCAGTGATAATCAGGTAAAATGGCTGGGTTATTTCTCGCTTAATATATATGTATGCAATATATATATGTAACTATTGCATACATATATATTAAGCTGAAACAAAAGTAAGTTACTTACGGTTAACTTTTGTTCGTCTATATCCTGATCTTGGAGGTTTCTTCTTATGTACTGCAGGAAACTGCAAGATTGCTGCATCAAGTTCAAAACTGAGCAATTAGATAATGTGGTTATATCAAGACACTGATTCATGCAAGATATCCCTTAAGTGTCATTTTAGAGCTTTCAGAGGAAAACGAATGCTTCAATCTAAAATTTATCTACATTTGGACAATGAAGATATATCACTATTATGTCACGCATATCCTCATGAATATAAATTTGTATGCTAACACGCCAAAAAAAATTTCAACCCCATCCCACAAACACTTGAAGTTATCAATGTAGCATTTGAAAGCTTACCACTTACCAAAAAGAGTAAATGGAAAACTGATTCAAGAAAATTTACTTACTGTATCCTCCATCTTGTCCACGAAACCATTGCCTGGAGAATATGAAATCACGCTTACACTTCCACCTACAAGAATGGCACATCGGTCGGTGATTGATGATAAATCATGACAAAGAGCATTGAGGGTGTTTTTGGTACGCGGACGAGACTAGACTGGACAGGCGAGAGTGCGGTAGTCGGGTGAAAGAATTGTGCAAGGTTTTAGGGTTTTAATTTGACATGGGTAGTTTAGTAATTTACCAATCTTGTCCCATCTTACTGACTTTGACTTTTGTTCCACCAACTTTGGTGGGACATAAAAAATGCATTTATGTCCCACTCAGGTCCTGTCCTGTCCGATCTAATCGCGCCAAACGCGGGACAACAAGTTTTCATACCGTACTATCCTGTCCCGTCCTGTCTCGTGTACCAAACGCCCCCTGAAGGACAAAGTCATAATGAATATAGAACATACACACACAGGAAGAAATATGATAGTGCCATTGAATGTTGCACACCAATTCTTTCATACAAGATTAGTCTTTTATAAATATTTGAAGAAACCTAGACATCCTTGAATATTGGGAACATCACTTTAGAGCTTAGATTGGAGTTCCAGTAAATGTTGTTTGATAAAAATTGGAGCTTGATAAACTGTTGCCCCTCGTCTATCAGCACAATCTTTTTAGATGAATTGGTAGCCAAAGTATCAAAGCAGTACTGTCTTGGGACTGTAGTTCTTTCTTCTAAAATTCTGAGTGCACCTCCTTATTTTCATGATTTGTTTGCGAACCTTTTAACAGGCTTGGCGAGGATTATAGTTTTCCTTCTCTTCTTTTGAATCAACATTCGTTTCTTTTTTAAAACAATCTTCATAGCTGATTGATTTTGGTCAAAGTTTTTGCTACATGGTGCATGTCGAAGCAAAGAACAATGGCAGAAATTAAGAAGACTGGATTCGCAATTGAAACTTCAACAGATGAAAGCCAAGGCTCAATCTTGTGTGGAATTGCATGCTATCCAAAATGCCTATAAATTGGTTGGGAAAAGTTATCTCAAATGCTCTCAACTTGTTTGCATGATCTTGTAAGTGTAGATCAGTCATTGCAAGGGACCTGACCATAACAAGGAGATCCGAGTTTTTGACTGGGATTCAGAGCTTGGTTTAAAAATGCGCGCATTATGCGCTCTGATGCGTGATGCGCTCTGATGCGCTGAACAAAACGCATCAAAGAGTCTGATGCGGTGCGATTCCATGATGCGATCGCATCACCTACGCATCACACGATGCGTGCATCACTTACGCATCAGCGCATCATGTATGTTGCGTTTTTGGGCTCCCTTTTTCAGTGTTTACTTGGGCTTTTTAGTTGGGCTTCTTAGTTATGTAAAATAGAACGTGAGTGACTGTTAGCGAGTAGCGACCTAATCGATAGAAGCCGACGGCAAAGAAGTAGAAGTAATCGATAGCAGAAGTCGAACCAGCAGGCAGCAACAGTTAAAGCGGGTATGAGTTACCTAGCAAATCCAGCAGTTAAAGCGGGTATGAGTGACTGTTAGCGAGTAGCGACCTAATCGATAGAAGCCGACAGCAAAGAAGTAGAAGTAATCGATAGCAGAAGTCGAACCAAAGAAGTAATCGACAGCAAAGAAGTAATCGATATCACGTAATTTTTAAGATTCTAATGCCACTTTTTTAACTACTTTATGTTATAAATGAAGTATTTTGATAGGCAAGTATTTTTAAGGTAGAAATTGATATGTAGAATTAATTTATAAATATTTTTTGAATACCGGGCGCATCACGTGCGTGATGCGAGCGCATCAGCATCACGCATCACGCATCGGCTTCCGGGACCCTTAACGCATCGGACCGCATCGCGCTTTTTAAAACCAAGATTCAGAGGACTGATTATGGCTTGGTTCTGGAATTCAATGATGCTGAAAGTGATACAATATCATACAAATTACACATTGTTTGTTCGACGGTCCCACTCGGGAAAACTGCCCTTTTTTTAGTATATACAGATGGCATCATTTTAGCAAGAAATGATGAGAATTGGCTACAGGATCTGAAAGAGCATCCATCAAAGAAATTTGCAGTAAAAGACATCCGGAGTAAGAAATTTATTCCTTGTCATGGAGGTTAATTGGTTAGAGAAAGTAGTGTTATTTCCTCAAAGAGAATGCATGCTTGATCTACAAAAGGAAACATGAATGCCGAGGTGAAAACCTATGCATACTCCCATGAAACCTCACAAGAAGCTGGACCTAAGAACTGAAGTGCATTGTTTGACAAGGGGAGATGTCAAAGGCTCAACACCTAGTTGGACGTCTCACCTATCTTGCTCAAAGTCCATACGACAAGAATGCCTAAAACCTGTAAGAAGGTCATTGATTTAAAAAACACTTACTATAAGGTCATTAAGCTTAATAACCCCTTATCAAAACCACCTCAGACCAACATCTAGATTTCAAATACTGGCTAAGGCTATTGTTAGGTTGGACAGGATCAGCATTTAATAAAGCAGGTGCCACATAAATGAACTGCTAAACAAACTGAATATATAAGAATGTAAAAGCTCTCTACGCAAAATTATTCTAGTTGTGATGCATAACAAGAAGAATTCATGAAACCAACAATCAGCTGTTATACTATTGGACTGGGCTCTATTTAGTAAAATGACCAATGAAATAGTTCGAGAGGAAAAACTAGGCACTGACATACCTAGTTAAGTATCTAGGATCGTAAGTGCCATAAACAACATCAGAGTTCCCACTTAAAGAGTCTACTAGCTCCAGGTCACTTGTCAATGTATCCCACCTGCAAATATAAATGTGTAAGGACACAAATATCTTGCATAATGATAACAATCAAATACATTGAGCAGAGTGAGGGTACTCATATCTCTGACGGCTATCAAGGCTCAATATCATCTCAAAGGCAGAATCTGGAGTCAATTCCACAACACCAACAGCCTTCACAAGGACACCTTGACTGCCCTGTAAGCATTTACGTAGAAAAGTTCGTAATGTGAAGAGATACGAGTAAAAGTTCACATAAGTTAACATCCTAACATATGTTAATATAGACGTTAACATATGGCTAACATGAAATGTTAACATAAGTTAACATGAAAATTAAGTTAAAAAGCATTAACATAAGTTAAAAAACATTAACATAGCGTATGTTAACTTATGTGAACCTTCGCTAACGAAGTGCTTCCTACACTTGTCACAAAATTTTTATTTCCTACCAGAACCCAATCCTGTATATATGTGTTAGGATTAATTTTTTGGTGAGAACGGTAAAACAAGGACCTTCACTGACCTTCATCCACCTGCATTTCACAAACTTCCATTTACCTTAAATACCTATTTACATCACCATGATTGAAACTTTATCGAGTTCATGCATGTGAAGGTGATTGAATATATGTAAAAGTTCGTGAAGGTGAAGGTTGTGAAGGTAGATGAAAGGTGATGAAGATAGATGAAGGTCCACATTTTTTTTCCAGCTGTTGGATCAAAAAGTCAACTAATCCAAAGGCTGAGAAGTGTTCTCACCTTCTCAATAAAAAGGGTTGTTCTCACATGTTCCCAACTATATATAGAGGGGCTATCAAACAAAACCCTCTTAAATGTTGCAACCAATGCAACTTCATCTAAACCACACAATTAAACAATCAACGGTTAGGGATAAGGTGGTTGCAGTTGGGGATAAGGCGGTTACATTTTTAAAAATTTAAAAACGAAAATATTCCTTAAAAGGGGGATGATCTACGGTTAGGATTAAATTTCATTGGGTTGCAGGGTTGCAACAATTGAAAAGGTTGCATTTGATTTGCATTATATATATATATATAAAGAAAAGGCAAGCACCTTAAAACCAGACACATCCTCAAAGATTCTGGCACCTAAAATCCAACACATGATCAAAGAGAACAACATCAAGATATCATATCCCAAAATTTTGAATGTCCCTGCAGTCAAATCTAATCAAGAGATTGTACCATTGACTGTGCGGATACATTTCCACTCATTTGCTTCAACGACATCAGCAGCATCCCCTTCACAGAAGTCAGCAGCCCTGCGATTAACTCCCAAGCTTAATGATCTACGGATAAGTGACTCTGGACCTATAGATTATAAATTGAAAACCATGTTAACTAGTGCTGCATAAAAAATGGATTTTTGTTCTGAATGACAAAAAAAAATGTCAATTTATGAATAATAAAAAAATAATATTCGATCTAACATGATATGCATTCAATGACGTCATCAATACAACATTTTTAAATTAAATTATCATTAAACATATCATACAATATTTATTTAAATGTCACAAAGAACATCATAATACTATTCAAATGGTAGAATGGAAAATAATATGGCCGCATAAGAATTTGAACTGTAGACATGTTTTATAGACATTATGAAATAATACGAAATTCAATTTAATACATAGTTTAAATAAAAAAAATTAATTATTAGTCAAGTGTCTGTTAAAAAATCATATATAAAATATCGAAATTTGGTAAATCATAATAAATGTCATTAACTATTAATATTATGACAATTATAGTAGATGAGAAATATATTACTTGAGAACATATCATTATAAAAAAATTTAATCATTAGGTATAAAAGAGTATGTTCAATCACTTTTTTGTTTTTGTTTGTTCAAATTAAATGAAAAACCCCAAACTGTATCCATACACATAAAAGGAAGGGGGATGGTAGAGATGGAAATGACATGGCTGAATGCATAAAGCAACAGAAGAGGGCTGTCCCAATTAAGCCAATCAGCTGATGACTTAATCATTAAGCCGCAAACAAACGACCATATATGGTTAAGCAAATAAGCTCCCCATACTATTAGGCCCATTAAGCTCTACACAAACAACAGAAGTTAACTTTATCAAGTCTAATTATTGGTCCTTATATGGCTTGAAAGAGGCTCCTCAAGCCTCCATGGGTCTTATTATCTCGTTTCTCTCCAGCATATGAGAGGTTTGGTTGATAACTTGATATAGAGTTATATGATTGCTCAGTACTGTTTTTGTTGAAATATCGATGCAGCACAAAACAAAACCAACACACACAGTAGCCCATTGCGACCTGTGCTAGCCAGGATTTCATAGGGAAAGACATGTAGGAACCTTGAGGATTTTCTAATGATCCTGTTATGTTCTAAAGTTCTAAATCCAGATAGAATTTCATACCAACAACCTTGGAAGCCACAAGTCATCGTGATACGGTCTTGCACATATTATACACCTAATACACTGATTAGGTGCATACTCGGATCTCGAGATATTCTAACATGATGTTCGGATCTCGAGATATTCTAACATGATGTTACCTATGTAGAGGTCTATTATGGGGTATTGAATTTAGTTTGAGGAACTTCTGTATCATGGAGAAGTGAAAAACAATGTAAGCTGCTTTATCTAGTGCAGAGTCTGAATATTGAGTAATGGCTCATACATCCTACAAATTGACCTCAATACAATGGTTGACACATGAGTTGGGAGATCTTCAATACAGTCTATAACCACATTCTTCATGAACACACTAAGTATAAACTCTGATGTTGATCGTCATTATGTTTAATAGAGTTTCTAACCACATGATGTTGACCGTCATTATGTCCACAAGGAAGTGGTCGATATTGCTTGAGAGGCTAGGTATGTTCAAGAATCAAGTTTTTGTTATTTTGAAAGTAAGGCCGTTGGTCCTATTTGTGGCAATTTTTGGGTATGTCTAATATATAAACACCAATTAGGAGTGTTTAAATGCAGGACAGTTTGGAGTCCATTTTTATTTGGTTATCAAGTTTTGTACTTTTTAATAGGATGATGTAAGGACATTTATCCTCATCTTGTTCCAGACATTTCTTTCTTTGTTTCAATACACAAAGGAGTTTACCTCTTAAAAATGTTTCATGGGTTTTACCAGACAACTATAACCACACATAAAATGAGACCTACCAAATACTATTCGGAGTCAAAGCAATCCTAGGAATATGATTTGATTTTAAAAAGAGATGCAATGAACATCACATGGAAAAACGGACAACTATAATCAAGTACCATTAGCAATCTTATCATTTGGTATGAAACCAAACCAAACAAGCCTTGTATATCCCACCCGGAGGTGGGGTCGGGGTGGGATGCATGGGACTTAACCTCTACCCCAAACAGTAGAGTGGTTGTTTCCATGATCGCCTAAAAAAATTGTGGAGAAAGAACATAAGAAGAACATTCGAAAAAGAAGAACTTGAAAACAAGAAAGACAATGCTAAGTTTGAAAAACGAGTTATGAGTAAGCAATAACATTCAAACAGACAAACAAACAAAATATACACACTGAAACAGATACAAGAAAACATAAACAAGGTAGGAGGGACTACACACCTCTAGTCTAACCTCGCCCCTAGTCTGCTAACCTAATCTTGGGTTTCCAAGAACTCTTATCCAAGGTCATGTCCTCAGGAATGCCTAAAGCTGTCATGTCTAATCTCAGTTGCTCATCCCGGGTCCTCTCTGACCTGCCCCTCCTCATTTCCTCGACCTTCACACTTTCTACCCTCCTGACCGCAGCCGCCATTTGTCTCCTACGAACGTGACTAAACCACCGGAATCTTCCCTCTCTCAACTAGAGATCACATGAATTAATATAGGTGTGAAGAAATGAAGAATGAAACATAGACCTTTTTTGTCATGCAAGGGATAATAATATCACATCTAAAAGCAAGTTGTCTGGGTAATTCGGAAACAACATTCATACCACCTTACCATGTTTTGTACTCATCAGCCTCTTTACACCACTAGCATAACGCATTAACCTACGGCGATGGCCATGTCGTTCAAGATCAATCCTTCCAAAAATAAGTAGCATAGTGAGACCATAAAACATATGTGAAAGGTACAAAACTATATGCAAGAGAGTGAACAATCTTTTTACCACGAATAATTTTACAAGATTATTATACAAAAACAAAGAGAATACAAAACTTTTAGATATTATTTGAAATGGAATTCTTAGCCACAGCCACAAGTACAAGATTATTATATAAAAGACACATAACTTTACAAGAACTTTTACCATGATTTGCATTGATGAGTAGCATTGTTGTTAAATTGTTTTATTGTATACTATAGAACATTCTCGACAAATTAGACATATAGTACAAATAGCAAGTGCACTTTCGACAAATAGAGTGGCAACATACTCGTTCTCCATGCTCAATTTCTTTCTGGTATTAGAACCTTGAGAAAGCTCATACTCAGCCTGTTAATGATGGTTGAAGGGGAAAGTAGATAAGAAAAAAGAAATGAATATGTCCAATCATTAAATTATGTGTACAAACTCTCATGGAGAACAATTAAATCTTGCAATTGATTGTACCTGTTTCTTTGCTTGTTCTAATGCTTCCATCCATTTTCGGGTTTCTCCGGCAGTAGCACAAGCAATCTTGCAACAATGTAAAACATCTCTTCAACAATAATAACAAGTTCCAACACAAGTTATTAAGCATCAGACAATTGGCATAACACATAGGACTATTAAATGGAAATGTTTTAGACACCAATACTGAAGACATCAGGGTTGTGTGATGTGTAAGAAAATCTAATATACTACAGAATCGCCTAGTTCAACACATAGTATGGTGTCTATGAGATGAAAAATCAAAAGACTGGAAAGAAAATTGCTTAATAAAATTGATAAAAAAAAAGAACATTCCACCCTTTTATAATGGGAACTACTACAAACATATATGGAATAGCATATGCTACAATCATAGTGGTGAGTCAAGGTTGTTTAACCTACCATGGCTTGTTACAAGCATAAGCTAGATATAAGCAATAATATAGGTCACTACAAAAAGCAATATACTTCTTTGCATGAAAACATAGAACATAAATCTCCATACAATAGCCGAAGTTGTAGAATTGTATTACTATACATTGGAAAGTATAACTTACTTCTCCGTTCTTCTCCTCATCCAATCGGTTAGAGAACTTCAAAACATAAAGATCCTGAAAATATGACATTTCAAGTGGAGAAATCAACTCCCGTACTCATGGGATAGCAAAATGAATCAAAAGCGATATCACTATATCAGGTTGGAAATGCATACTGACCAATATCTTGTAATATTACAGAAATGGGAACAGAGAAATTGAATAAACATGTTCGTTTTGCGGGTCCCATTTATATGATCTTAAGGCAATGAGAATGTGAGTTAATCCTATTTACTTCACATGAGGAGAAATGAGGATGAGATCCGTAGATAGGGGATAATGTTATAAGCAAATGACATCAAGTGATGTATGAATAGACAAAAACACAATGAACAGAACATTATTTAAGGGTCTTACATCATCATTGACCCTCCGACGTCCTAGCTCCTCTAGCACAAGTGTGTGGCCAACAACACCCCTCCTTGTCGGTTTCTGCATTGAATAAAAACTGAAAATAATTAATGTAATACAAGGGAAAAAAACCTTGCTTATCTTGTTATTGAACATAGGTTAATGCTTTTAATGCTTGAAGAGATAATTAGCATCACGTAGTTGGAATATACTCCTGAGGAGCCCTAGTGATCCAATACCATCACCATCATCAGGCTAGGCCATTTACACATATGTGATGCAGAACAAGTTCCTTACATAAAAAGAATGTATACTCCTAACATCTATCTTCAAGGCGACGACAATATAAGCTTGTAGCCATCAAAAGTAAAATTACTCAAAATGAGTCATATGATACCCTAGTCCTACCCTTCTTTCTTTAACCCAAAACACGATGTTCCCTCATCTTATATCAAGAATATATATACTCCCACATTCCTAAACAACGATCCCACACTTGAGTTTAGAGATTCAAATTTAGTACTTCTCAATTCAAATTTGACATGAAGCTATCAGGTTTTTAGGTTCAAAGTATACCTATTGTATTCCTTCTAGCATATTTGTGTAGTTATCATGTTTTATTTTAATACGATGGAAATAGTTCACCAAAAATTTCAAGTTCAACATTGCCTCATTTGACAATCATACATCAAATGAGAAATCTTCTTTGGGGACAAACATAGTAACATGATATTATTCATATAGAAGAAATTATATTCAGACACTTGATGTATAAAACTGTAAGAAAATAGTTATCATGCAAAAAGAGAAGTGTTAGTTTTAGCATTTAGCACATAAGATTTGTTATCAACAATCCAGATTATATAATAACCCAAAACAGATCAAGAAGACTACAAGTATGTACTTGGATCATTAAGAAGAGTTTGTTGTATGCAAATACACAAGTCCAACTTAGCAGCATAGGATACAACAAGAAAACTACACCAACTCCTGTCATTTTCTGGCTACAAAACCAGTTTTAACCTGGAGAAAGGTTTTACACTCGAATCACCTCCTAATGAAAGACTTCCTCAATGGTTACAACTGTTATAATCAGAATCATTTATTTTCCCCTCTCTCTCTCTCTCTCTCTCTCACACATACACAATCTTTGTTCATCACTTTTTGAGCCTGTTACCCATGTGGTCCTAAATCTTCCGATATTTAGGCCACTTTGTTGACTCCTACACCAATCTTACATATTTTTCATTCTAATCAATCAAGCAACCATGTTAATTTGATGAAATTGTAAAAGGATTTCCTTGCAATCAAGAAAGATATTACTGCAAGTGTGTGGCATCAACACAAAACTTAGCTATCAGAAGTCATGGCAAAAGGACGGGGAAGGACTGAACCCACACTATTGAAAGGGATTGGAAAAGCATCCAAATTGTAGAAATATGAAATTCTTGCTTGAGATTAAAATTATATAAAACCCTCTAAATTTGTGTGCAGACCAACACATAAATCTTCATGTTTTAGGATGAAACTGCAGTATGTATAAAGTCTTTACTAGCTATATAAACCTACTGTTTTATCCTATTAAGGGTTTAATTGGCTTCAGAAACAAGTAAAACCATAACAAAGAAGATTACTACGGACAACATGGCAAGTTAGCTATTGCAAACACACTTAGTTTCATCCAAAATTCACAAATCCACTAAACCTTCAAATTCTATTCACATGAAATCACCTCTGTTTGCTGCAACATATATGGTATTGACTTTTTGTTCTTTCATGATCTTCTATAGTTTGCCCACATAAAACAAAAACTATAGTCAAACACTAATACGAGGAGAACAAAAAATATATATACACAGGCCCGTTCCTGACATTTTATAGGCCTGGGCGAGAGGTAAAAAAGGGCCCTGTTATGTACGAAAAACTCTTCAATATTTTGTTTTTACCATAAGAAATAGGAGTGATTTCAAAAAATACTAATAATTCATATAAAACCGTTTTTCCGAGTATTCCTTGGTGCAAAATCAATATATAATTATTTCTATATTAATATTATCTACCATATCAATTATACATGACATCATCAATCCGTTCCACCGTAAAGAAAATCATATGATATACCTTTAATATATAGATTGACATAATTTGGGATCATAATATTGACCCTTGCTGAGTAACACTCTATGTAAATCAATATAAATCAGCTGATTCCATCCCACCTCACATTATTGTCTTTCATCACCATTCTAAACTTTTAGGGTTAAACAAACCTTTTCGCAACTATGAATCTTAGAATCAAAAACCCATGTTGGTTATAGCTTGAGTTTTTATTCTTATTTTAGAGATAGGAATATCAATATTCATACACTCATATTAGGTAATAAAGACTAAAAAATGTACGAAAAAATAAAGATAGTTTTGAAATCCTAAATATAAGTTGGCCAGTCTGATATGGTTGGTATTTTCAGAAGGTATGACGTTTCTAGTTAATAACAAGAAATTAGTTATATGCTAATACAAAAATAGAATTCATGCAGATGGAATAATTAAAAGAATCAGTGGGAGATGAATATTAGAGAATATATCATGGTTTTCTAGACAAGTAGTTTTAGACATTGATACCAGATAAAAAAATTAGAAAAATAATAAACAATATTATAAAACTAGAGAAATAATAAACAATATTATAAAATTAACGACCAATTAACTTTTCACATATTTTTCTTGTCCAATGTAATTAATTAAGACATGTATGGGTCTTAATATAATACTAAAATTCTTTTCGAGTCCTATTAAATACTAAAGAAATTTATCTCTTTTATTCAAGGGGCAGTTGACCTAAATGTTTACCCGGTGAGCATTTATCGTATCGTTAGAAGTCAACACTATAATTTATTTTACCGGGTATTATAGTACATCAATACGTATGTTATGCAACAATTTACCTGGTAAGCGCTTATTCAGCCAAGAGTCGTCACCCTCCCTTCCGCAAAATAGAACACACAAATTCAATAATACGACAAGAAATAACAAGAAGTCAAGAATGCAATTAAACAGGTTGTTTTAGAACCCTAAGAATTGCTACAATGTGTATGTGCATTGTGTAGGATGTAATCAAATGAAATCAAAATGATGGAGAATATGAGATCGTAATAACATACAGTGCCTGCGTGTTCATCAGGATCACGCTTATACATCATAACGTATTTTCCCTTAATATGTAGAAACCGGCGATGACAAGATTCACGTTTAACGGAACGGGTGCCCAAATGATAAACCCATCCAGAATGTTCAAACTTGGGCCGACCAACAACCTTCTCCTCCTTCCCACTATCTTCTCCACTTCCCGAAGAACCACCTCCTTCGCCCGTCGCCATCTTCGTCGGCGGCGAAACAATTTACCCCCCTCTTTTTCAGCCCAGAAGTTTGTTGAATCTTTCCAGATCCTAGAATTCAAAGAGAGGAGGGAGAGACTGTGTAAACCTTGTAGCGAACGTCTATGGTTCATGTTGTACTTGAAATCAACCGATTCCCATGGCAGATTGAAGAAATAATAATGGGATTTTTTGGACCGTTGGAGCTTGACAATGGTGGAGAATATCATGGTAGCATGAAATAGCGAGGGTAATCGGTTGCGGATCCAATTTAAACCGGTTTCCTTTCCATTTGGCAAAGGTTACATTTTGGTCCCTGTTCTTTCAGGGTGCGTTTGGTACGCAGACAGGACAGGACGGGACAGGACAGGACAGGACAGAACAGGACAGGACAGGACAGCTGTTCAGCGTTTGGTAAGACATGATAGGACTGGACATAACTGGTTAAATTGACTAATTTACCCCAATGAGTCAATCCCAGAATTCTAACCACCATGATCAAATTAGTCTACCATACTCCTAAACCCACTTGAGAAACGACATCGGATTCTAAACCCTAAAATCTTCAACTTCAATCAATTTTACAGTCACTGACAATTTCGATTAAAACCCTAAAATGAAATCGAAGGAGATCTGATGAACAATCTTACAAAAGTAGTTCTTATTGTTGCAGATTACTAAAATGAGCTTGTTGTCTGGGTTTGTAAATGCAATCGTCACAAAAACAGCAAACATATGCAATCGATACAAAAACAGCAAACAAAGTGCAATCGATAGAAACAACAAACAGATGCAATCGATACAAAAGGGGAATGATT